GCCACTTCTGCAGTCGTTAATCTGGGATCCATTTCGATGCTCCTCTTGACACTGACAAGAAGAGCAATGATTTAGATGTCTGGTAGAGGAACGACAAGAAAAAGATGAAGGCCTGGAACCTGGAATGGGAAGGTAAGGAGTACACCAATTCCATATGATGAACAGAAGTAAAGGGCAAGGTCAAGAAAGAAAAACCTGAGAAGATAATGAGGACTGAAGCCATATAATGTCAGTCCAGGTTATCATGGAGAAATGGGTACCATTGAAGACATCTGGGCAAAGAAAGGAAGCCTGATGAATACCATGTATACAACGAGGAGGAACAATGTAAGGGATAGAGCAGAAGTGAAACAGATGAAGCTTGCAAAGAGAAGGGAATGAACACCTACAGAAAACTATCTGAAGCATGAAGAAGTGCCTCAGACAAAACATGGATGTAAGCAAGGAGTAATGTATATCAGGTTTTAGTTGAGCCAGATTCTTTACAGTACATGTCTGTGACTTGTTGGCAATAATTTTCCATAATAAATGAAAAGCACACAGTCCACTTGTTTTAAAATTATATATTAAAAGCCAAACTTATATACAAATGTTCATTACACTGTTGGTTATTACTGCTGTATCCAGATCATTAAAATAATTCTCTTTTTTGTCAAATTCCATTCAGGGTGGTTCACTTACTTTAGAACACAATTTGACAATACAAATTATTTTCCCTGCTTTGTTGTTACAATACAATTTGTGATAATTTCATTTGAAAAATCACCATGATATACTCTTTTTGGCTAAACTCACAATCATGCAGTCTAGATCTAACTAACTAACTACATTCAAACTACATTTTGGAAGCATATTTATAGCCTGATCTGAGGCCTAGAACTTTCCACACACTACAAGATATTATGATGCAATAATACCCAATTAAAGCAACTAGGAAAATTTAGAATGTTCTAGTAACATGATGTAATAATACACAACATTCGCCAATTCACAAGTGAACTTCACAACGTATGATTCTAAAACAGGTATGTAAACAAACCTGTGATAAGCTATCATTTCTAAAAATAAGTAAATTTAATACTTGTGCTTCACTTAAACCATCTAAATCATAGCATTCACATTAAATTTACACAATTGCATATATCTAACAATGAGAAAATGACAAAAATGGGGAACCAGAGAGCAAAATAGAACATAAGAGGTCTGATCCTCAAGAGCTGGCCAAATAGATACTAAGGACAGGGAATCAAGAAAAGCAAAGGAAGAAAGTCCACAAGTCAGGACAAAAACAGTCACAAATGTGAGGAGGCTGAGGCAATTGGGTGTGAGAGAAGAGCTATTAGAGAAAGGAAACAGAATGAATCCAATAACGAGCAAGGAGGAATGACAAGGTAAACCTCAAGAAATGTGGATCATGGAGTAAAAATTGAGAAATAGGAAAGAAAACAGACAAAAAGATAGGGGAAGGAACATAACTGGGAATGAAATCCAGAAAGAGATTGGAAGGTTGTTTCTCGAATGGTAAGGCACTACCCAAATGAGGTGAAAGTCATGGTCCAATACATCATTCCTGATTGAGGAGAAAGATATTTGGCCAATCAGATGGAAGTACGAGGCCCAGTAGGCATGTTATAATCTGCAACACGTTGAACAATGGAAGTATTGTCCCTGACAGTTAGCAAGCCTCCAAAAACCATAGTTGAAATAAGGATTGTGTGTGAATAACGTCACTCACACAGGACTATGTATATGTTACCATCATTTGAGAATGCACTATAAAATTTAAAGATTTTGAAAGAAAAGCCAAAGGAAATGAAAATCAAAGTTTCGTTAACAATGCAAAACTTAATACACTGAATACAGATGAGAAATTAAACATGTCTTGTCAATACAATGCCAAGGAGAAGAATGAAGTATTCATAAGTGAAGGTGCATAGGAAGAGTTACTGCCGTGGAGGTTTGTCACCCTCCTATTGGTTGAGGGTTTTTGTAACATGATAACTTCATCATGCACCAGTGCAGCTTACATTAAAACATGTGAAATTAGGTGCGAGTTCCTTCAAGGCAACTGATCGCAAATCTCTTAGGTAGATGCATAAGGAAGACAGCTTTTCTGTGTGAGGAGGCAATATATTGTCTCAGAAAATTAAATCATGGGAAGTGTAGCTCTACTGTTTAGCTTTGTGTATCCAATTCACATTTCTGCCTATTATCTAGAACTTTAAAATATAATTTCTACATTTTTCAAAAATATTTATGTAATGTACAAATTAGATATGATCATCACTATGTTACAGCTAGTAATAATAATTGATCCTTTTTTCATATGATCTGTTAGTCTTTTATGCAATAAATGAGACTTAAATAATTAAACAGTGCAATAAATTTACTCAAACTCAGTCTTGACATAAAACACTGAAATAAATACAATAAAAGTACATACAATATCATACAGTTAAATACATCAAACTTATTAATAATGGAAGCCAAAGATGAATGTGTAAAATAAACTACAAAGTCAATATCTAAAACAGTACCACTCTCTCTTTTGTTTTTCAATCTTGTAATTTACTGATAACTCTTTTTCCAGGGGCAATATTTTAACTTCACATGTATTGTAAATACTACACAAAGGACCAGTATGTTATGTGTTTGTGTGTCAATATTCTTTTATTACTGTATTAGTGAATAATATTATATGACTGTTTACAACTACATCTTAAAGATTTTACAGTTGCACAGTAATCAGCCATGAATGTTGTAAAATGTTGAACACAAATCCTACTTGTAACCTGCTTTATGTATAATAATATCTTTTATAATTTTGCAGAAATTAAAACTTACATAAGACTTTGTATCCTGGTCATTTGTATTTGTAATCTGCAGCTTAATTAAAAACCTGAAAAGATACAAGTACATTTTTACATACACTAAACCTCTGCCTGAAACAGTTCTAGTAAACTTATAAAATTTAAATAGTACTTGAGTTTTCAAAATGATTTAAAATTAAGCAAATGCACTGTAAATGTTCCTCCTGTAAAAATTTTTCACAGTTAATTTAACACCTCTATAAAACTTCCAATTAATCTCTCTTTCTCTATTCCTACAAAAGTAAGCCACTTGTAACAGAACATGTTATTTAAAAGCTTATTACTTTGAATAAAATATGTACATATATATATATATATATATCTAAAGTTATTGTTTACACCTACAATGTTCATGCACATATACAGTACACGTACATTACTTTAAAATATACTCAGCGTGGGCTTAAACACACAACTAAGGAGAAGTGAATAAGATCCAAGACAATATTTAACTTGAGAAAAGCTGCTATCATATGAATTCCACAATTGATATTTTAGGTAGAGCCTGAGTTACATACACACCAGAAAAGAAAGGTGTTGTTCTACAGTAATAAATGTGTGAGTAACAGACATTATATTTTAGAAGTTAAAAGAATTAGGTACTATGGGTATCATAGTATGAGCAATGCGAAAATGCTCAATAAAAAGACAAAATATCACTGATGAACTTGATGACAATTTTCAATAAAGACAAAGAACAAATGAATATAAGAAAATTCTCAATAAAAAAACAAAATATAACCTTTGTGGTTACAAGAAACTGAATGGAAACTAAAAACACAATACAGAGAGAAAAAAGTAGATTTCAAAGAAAATAGATTAAAAACAAAGCAACTTTTGATCAAGATCTTTGTAACATGAATCTTCAGAGCTATAAAGTATCTAAGCTTATTGAAAGACAATCACAGAGTTAAACTAATAACAACAGAAGTTTGACAGAACATAAATGTCACAGAATCCACCTAATGTAGCTCACAAAAAATTTGTTACAAATAAGAATGGTTGAGCAATGACATTCTTAATATAGGAAGTTATGTATGTGATGCTGAGGCCTCACTGTCCAAAGAAAATAGTACATAAACAACAAAGTATTTGTATGTTTAATCTGAAACTCTACAGAAAACTGAGGGTTAAGTGTAGTTCATAAAAACAATGTTTAGGTCTAATGCTACCTTTGAAACCACTTCTTCCATCATTAATAATGCTCAATCCGATAGCCAAGTTTACACACAATTTCCAAACACTATAATTTGCAAAGTATGATAGGATCAGTCTTAGATTACCCAATGTGACAAATTTTATACATACTTTCCACTGATAAGTAGTAACCATACCATAATCAGCCTGCAAAACAATGGGTAAGAGCTAGGACAAATTTGGATTCCAAAAACAATTGGCATTAGTCTACAGAGGGTTGATTACATTATATTAAAATAATTTTGAAACCGTGCTATTACAATTCATCTCGCAACATTTTGTCATTCTCAATCTGATAATTGTGCATTTTGAAAATAACCCTCCAGTGTAGTTTCCAATTGAAAAGACTGTTGTAAGGCCGTCATGTCAAACAGAAAAAAATGGCAAAATTTCCATTATCTATACTTTGTACAAAGATGATGGTTCCCAGCACCCACTTAAAACTGTCTAATCACAATGAAATCCATTAGCACTACATATGGTAATGTATGTCTTCATATTGAATAACATGCATACTCATTCATTCTCCAACTGCTTCAGGTATGCAATGGCTGAACAGGAGGTATGACTAGAAGCCCTATCTTGATGAATCCAAACCCTATTGGCCTTGTTTCCATACCAAAGGGTACAGAACACTAATCTGATAGTAAGTACATTCCATTTTGACCTTTATATTCACTCTCCTGATTCCTTATTTGCTCCTGGTGCTGCTGTGTCCACCGATCATGAATTCCATTGAAGAAGTATTGCAACATGCAGTATACCACTTTTGGAAATTATTTCACTCATTGATGAGTAAATATTGGCAAGAGACTTGTTACAATTATCAAGATACACATATACTTTGTTGTGTTATCAGTCTTTCTTGGCTACGTATCGTTCATACAATCTTCTACAGTTGGTCTTCCTTTCATGGATTTGTCATGGGTGCAATTTGTGTACAACACCTAATTTGTGTTGCTTTTCCAGGTGGAAATCTTTCTTGATTATGTGGGGCATGTGGACAGCTTTTGCCATTGATCTTTCTGTTACTGGATTCTCACCTGTTACAAGATGCTGCACTTTGCTTACCATGGCTGGGGTAGTACAACTTAATGCAATCTTTTTTTGTTAGTTCTGGAGGTCCAAAGTTGATCAATTTTCCTTTGTTTTCCAATGCCATTAAGTATAAAGTATACCTAAATCTCCAATTTAAACATATTTTATATGACCTCAGTGTATGAACTTTTGTATTGGAAAGAGCTGTTACATATCTTTTCCAAAAGTGATCAGTTTTCAATGGCATCAAATAATGCCAAAATGTATTTCATTTCTGTAGTGCATATTGGTGTATAAAAGACATTTTAATACTAGTAATAAATGACCTTATAACACCAAATTTATTATGTTTTAATTGGCCACTCAATGTTTCACTTTACAGCTTCTTCAGAAGTATTTCAGTAAACTTTGATACAGTCTGTTTTCTGTGGAACAATTCCTGAAGAAGCTGTAAAGTGAAACATTGAGTGCACAATTAAAGAAAAATAACAAATTTGGTGTTATAAGGTAATTCATTATTAGTATCAAAGAGTCAAAATGTATTTCTGATACATGCCCATTGCAACTTTATACTGGCTAATGTTGTCATATGACTTGCTGATTTGATTAATCAAAATTGTTTTCATATAACTATTCAACTCTGTGTAAGAAAAAAGGAAATCAAAATGAAACACTTCCTACTAGGAAAATTATGGTCTGTTACTGGTGATCACTGACAGTTTGTTTTGTTTGTTTTTTGAATTTAGCACAAAGCTACAAGAGGACTATCTGCGCTAGCTGTCCCTAATTTAGCAGTGTAAGACTAGAAGGAAGGCAGCTAGTCATCACCACCCACTGCCAACTATTTTACCAATAGTGGGATTGACTGTCACATTATAACACCCTGATGGCTGAAAGGGCAAACATGTTTGGTGTAATGGGGATTCGAACCCGCGACTCTCCGATTGTGAGCCGAGCACCCTAACTACCTGGCCATGCTGGGCCAATCACTGCCAGAAAAAGCCAATTGGATGTGCTCAATAAGTGCAAAAGCATCAGACTGTGTCTCACTTGACAGATTCTTTCAACGGTGATCAAAATTCTATCTCCAACTGCACAATGTGAAGAATATTACAAAAGTTGTTATAAGACACCAGAATCAGTCATAAAAAAAATAATGATCCTCTATGTGAAAATGAAAGCACTGTTTTGGTGAAGCTTTGAGTACACATTCATGATAATGAATGACTGGAGTGTGAATGATGTGGTCAGATGAGTGGTGTTAAGTCTTTTGTATTTTTGAATCTTGGAGAAGTAAAAATAAAATAATCACATGAAACACTTGATTCTGTTATTCTGATAATTAACATTCAAGGTGCAACCAAATGCTGTTGCTGATCATAACCACCAAACAACAGTAGTTTATATTAAGAATTTCTTAACTCTTTAAACCCATAATTTTTTGCATGTTGTGCTGGAATTATCTTCATGATCTCCTAATAATTATCACCATACATTATAAAATTTCACTTGCCTTAATTTTGTTTTACCCTTCAGCATTAGGAATACCCACATGAAGCACTGTTGAGTTAATAGCCTCAAACCTCTCTCTGTTGCACAAATTGGTGTCACCGTCCAATGGGTAAATCAAGAATTTTCATCTGGACACCGGCAGTGCCCGCTCAGATTTAAGGAGTTAAAACAGAACAGTTGGCCCATTTTGAATCACTGAATCTAGAACACATCAACTTAATAAGCCATTCAAATAATACCGAGACAGAACGATGTGTATTGTACAGTAGCACAACTTAATGCAACTAAAGCTACGCTAAGCTAGCATGTTTGAACAATGTTTTGTTGCTACTACAATTTGTGTTGCATGCTCTGACTGGTTCTGAAAGGTCTGTTGAGCAATGTTAATTGAGAGGTTCCACTTCTAAGATGTGTGAATAACTTATGGAAGCACAGCAGTGAAAATATCAGGTTTTTCCTAGCCTCAGGAAGCAAAATAACCTGATCTCAATCCAAAAATTGAGCATCTTTGGAATAAGCATGAACATGTATATATTCTCATCTGTCTACCCACTGCACACCATACTTTTGGATGAATGAGCCATACAACAATTGAGCAAGATAGCATCTGGCAGCTTTTGAAGGCCAAATTGAGTTTGTAACTGTGGCAAAAGTCCAATTCATTATAAAGAGGAAGTCTAATAAAAACAATCATCAGTTGAAAAAATATTGTCATTTTGTACTTCTAGCAAATAATACATTTTCTTGAAACACCTTGATAAACACCTACCTAATTAGTTGCAGTATTTGGACAGGCTGTTGTTCTAAATTATCACCCTCCAGTTGCAATATTTCAGTAAGTTCTGTAGTTGGTTTATCTCCTACACCAAGGTGAGCTCTGATACAATCCAAGTAATCCCAGAAATCACAAAACTGTTGAGGACTTGTCAGCTGTTTGTCAGTTGTGGTTTTTGAAATACTAACTAGCATTTTTTCTACTGAAGCTTCTGGAGATATTGCAGTCATGATACACAGCTGTATCCATCCATAAGTTTTGAATTTGTGAAATAATTCTGAATTAGTTACTTCTATAAAATAACAACAAAAGCCTTTTCTAACTGTGTTGATCAAAAATATTTTAGTAGAGATCAGAAATGTAGCCATTTGTGAAAAAATAATGAAATTTGATTATCAGTTTAATTCAATGTCACATGTTCATTAGATAAATACTGATGTTTTTAAAAATTGTTTACAATGTTTTAATTGGAAATAATTATAATTTTGAACAAAATGCTTCGTAGGCATTGTAAAAAACTAAACTGGTTGAAAAACATATGTCAACATAATATTGTAAAAGATATCCCCAAAAAATTATTTAGGTTACAGATACATTATTACTTAATTTCTGTAGTGCATACTGGTGTATAGAATATATTTTAACAATAGAAATAAATGACCTTATAACACCAAAATGAAGTCTTGTACTGCCAGTAACGGTTTGTGATTTAGTAGAACACTCCTGAAGAAGTTATAAAGTTAAAAGTTGAGTGTCCCATTAAAGAATTATAACAAATTTGGTGTTATAAGGTAATATATTTCTAGAATTGAAGTAACATATAGGTTTCAATTTTATCTTTCAATTAAAGAAATTTTACGCTTACTGTTTTCTGGGTTGAAACTAGTGTTAGTGATGATTATATTAAAGAATAATAAAGTTTGTGTTTTGTATAACTTATGCAAAATACCTGTTAGTAGTCACAGAGGAACAATATATGTTGTTTATATAATAGACAATAGCTTCTTTACAACCTAATTTCAGCACTACTTTTTATATAATACTACTGTAAATATTTGAAACTAAGTAACTGAAAGTATTCTATATACTTTAATTGGTTTTAAGATTTAGTAAAAAATATAACAAAACTTCCCAAAACATATTTCTAAGAACAGAAAATAGTTTGTGTTTGTTTGTAGTTAAGCACAAAGCTACCTGATGGACTATCTGTGGTGTGCCCACCATGGGTACTGAAACTAGGGTTTTAATGTTGTAAACCTTCAAACTTACTGCTGAACCACTAGGAGGGTAAAAAATAAAGCCAAGTATCTTAATTTTTCAAGGCTCTGTGAAAAACATTGATAAACTAGACAAATAATCTCAATGGTAACATACATTTTCATTCGCATAAAATTTTATAGTGGTTGTTTTAAGATAATAGTTTATAAATTTATAAGCAACCTCTTTATTTCAACTTCTTGCATTATTCAAATTATGTACAAGCATCAAGCTCACATTTAAAACCTGTAAGAATTGTTTTGTAAATATTATGAAGGAGGTGATGGATAGATACTAAACATTTATTTAATAGCATGTTAAGATGTTCACGAGACTTCAGAAGCAAAATTTTCCTCATGAAATGCTTTAATCTCTCAACTGAAGAATGACTTTTAATAGACTGTTTGCTTATTCATTTTTGAAATTTTGTGCAAAGCCATACGAAGGCTATCTGCACTAGTCATTCCCAATTCAGCAGTGACAGATTAGAAAGAAGGCAGTTAGTCAACATTACCCACTGCAATCTCTTGGGCTATTCTATTACCAATGAATAGTAGGATTCACTGTAACATTATTATGCTACCACAGCTGAAAGGGCAAACATGTTCAGTGACAGGGATTTGAACCCGGGACGCTCAGATTGAATGTCAAGCATCTTATTCACCAGGCTAAGCCAGACTTTAACTGTGTTTGTAAAGAATAAAATATTATGTCCCATAACTTTCACAATTTTTCTGGCTTTCTAAGTATGTGAGAAGAGCCATTAAAAATTCACCTTGGCTTGTCAATGTGTTTCCTGCAGGAATCAAGCTTGAACTGAAAGCAACATTGACAATTCTCTACATGGAAAACAATGTAACATAATATATCATTTGATAGATGAAAAATTGGCTTTCTATTGGTTTTAAATAATACAGTATTGAACATCAGAGAGAACTATTGGCAATTTCTGAAAGTTAGGATGTGACAGGTGGGTGTGGCAAGAAGGGTCTATTTTCTATTTTGATGACTCTGTAAACAAATAAGATTGAAAGCTATGAAAATTATGCTTTGTTTGAACAATGATGATATTATAATGAGTAATTTACGTTAAATTTTGTACTTCTTGGTGGGTTGGTAAATAAATTAGAGAAGAGGGATGTCTAGAAAGCAAATGTCACAATTCTCATACTGGGGAAATTCTAGATTTTTTAAAAATATTGTCTTATAAAAGTAAGAACTTAAAACTTAAATATTATTAAAATATGGATTATTAGCTATGTTTTTATGCTATATTTATTGGTATACCATGAAAAGAAAGTAGTTTAATTAAATTTTGAATGTAATTCACTAAAATCTTGTAACTTGCACAGAAAAAAGATGCCTGTGGAAAGTGGGTTAATTAAAACAATACAGCCTCAAACAAGAAGCCTTAAGTTTTTTTTTGTCTATGATTCTAGTAAACACAACATGATTAAAATTAACTGAGTGTAGTTATATTAAATATTCATAAAATATGTCATAAAGACATAATTAAAATTCATATTTGTTTAAGAGAATGCAGAGATGTCTTCCTATAAATTTTTACCCCCTCCCCCTCAAAAAGGATGTAAAGGCTACCATGTGTAAACTTCTGAAAATGTGACAAAAAAAAAAAAACAACATTAAGATAAGTGTATTTATTGAATGTGCTGCCAAGCCAAATTTTGTAGTTCCACATGAAAAACAAGGCTCAATTTATATTACAACTCTTCTTTTATGACTTTTTAACATGCATATTTCATTTTTAGTTTGGTGGTAAATAGGTTCCAATACAAAAAATTAAAAATATAGGAGAAAGGAAAATTATTAAAAAAGCATTAAGCAGTCAATAGAATTTTGCTTATATATTTCATTAAGGAAATAAAAGGTCCAAGAACTGTATGTATTTCGTGTAGAAAGAATGTTATTACAAAAAAAATAATTTTGTAAACATTAAAAGATATTTCTGTATGCAGACAATTTTTTAAGCTATTATATCACTTGGCAGTTAGCAACAAAATGAAGAGTTAATAAAGAAATGCTTTGAAATGATGTACAGAGATACAGAAAACTATTATAAGCACACAACAGTAAGACCTGGCAGGAGTCACAACAGCAAGGGCTCAAAGCCCCAAGAATCACTAGAGCTTCACAGACCCTTCCAACAGTACCCCCTCTCCAACACCCCTGATTTCCTGTTTTTTCTGTGGCAATATTGCTGCTGCAATGATTGTAAGATGTAAAATTAAATGCCAGAAGTTGTCAATGATTTATTGAATATGTTCAGACTGAGAAAAATATTTTTGAATTTGTTTGTCCCCTGGAACAAGAGAAATTCAGGAAGTAATTATCTCATTATTTTGATAGCCCCATTGAAGGTAATAGATATAAAACCAATTTTACAAACTGATTTAGTGTAGAATCTGTAAAAAAAATAGAATAAATTGTATATAAACATAAATAAAAACCCAATAATTTTTTTCATATTTTATTTATCCAACCAATTTTAACTTGTTTTATATTCATTAACATATTAATCTTTGTAATTTTTCTGCCCACTGAAGCACAATTAAGAAAAAAAAGTCTTGCACGATCAACAATAATTTACCATCAAATGTTATTGTGCAACATACTAGATGCCACTGTGCTCATGAATGCAAATACTGTTAACTGATTTATGGGAGAATAGAAAGAATTCTGTAGCTTTCAAAGGAATAGAACAAAAATCCACTATCAGGAATATGAAAAAAGTCATGAGAAAGAATAAAAAGTTTTCATGCTCTAATTACCCACGAAGTACTTTTAAAATCACCATATTCTAGTTTAAAACATGGCTTCATGAGACCACCCACTGAAAATTTAATATTGAAACTTTTGTTACAAATCATTGGCAAGTTGTTTTCCTCATTTTGAAACTAAGTTCTTTCTTTACAACCAATTTTACAAATTTATTCATCCACAGCTAATTCTTACCCATCCAGGATGAGTGACCAGGTAATGTTTTACACCTTTAAGTCCGAGGGCAATTTCAGCCAATCAAAAAATAGCTGGTAGCCTGCCCTGCAATAACAGCTTCATGTTCAGAATTGGTCATTTTTCACTGTTCTTGTGTGTGTATATATATAAACAAAAAGTGGAATTACTTGCAAGGGGGTGAAGCCTCCAAAATAAGAACCATTTACAGATTCAGAAAAAAAACACAATATATTGAAAAATTCCAATGTTTACGATTAGAAAAATTTCAAAAGAAGTTATATCTATTCGTATATTTATACATTACTGGTTGGTTATCTCAGTATCTGGTATTATCACATTTCAATTGGGCCCCTAAATTATGATGGGGCTCATCAATTCCAGGAGCTATTATTTTCACCCCCTGTAGACTGGGAGATAAAGTCTGAAAACTTGAAGTAAACATGCAGTTAAGCACAACTAGCTTGCTGGGGGTATGCCTACATTAGCTACAGCAAAAAGGGGATAATAATGAGAGGTGCCCCCAAACAATTGGCTATAAGAGTTAGACATAATTGGAAAAGATAGATATAACTTCAGATTTAAAGATTTTGCAATAGTTAACATCCTCACATGAGAAAAACAATTCACTTGTTTAAGTAAAAAAACACAAAAACAAATGTCACTTTATTCAGCATTTTAAGTCAATCTCAAATATACAAGAAAACTTCTGAAATGCACCAAGTGTAAACAATCTGATGGAAAGAGATAAATTAAACCTCATCAAGCTATTACAATCCAGTTAAAGATTTGCCTGTAGAATGTTCTACTTGAACTTTATCAATTTACACAGTTTAAATTAAAAGGCATTTGCAATGCTTTTCCTACGATTGGTTTTAGGTAGCTTTAACAACTGAAAACATCATTCAATCTTAATATAAATAAACAGTTCTTAGCTACCCACAATCATTCAAGATTTGTGGAAAATTATATTATTTCATTCTGTGTTGAAACTTAGCTAAGCAATACATAAAAATTAACAGGAAATGAGTATACTTGAAAATCATAAACAGTAAATTATAGTTGATAGACAATATCATAAAAATACAATAAGCTGAGGAAAAATAAGAACTTACCTTTACTGGTTCCAGAACTACTAGGTGGTCATACCATGTTATGAGACTGGAACAAAATTCTATTCATTAAAATCTCAAGGAAGTAGAATTTAAAAAAAAAAATTAGAAAAATGTAAACATCATGTCTAAAACAATCAACTAATCAAACATTTGTTATGATACAAATTTCTTTTACAAATTTGTTGGATGCCTAAAAACAAGTTTACTACATTTCATTGCAGGAATGAGAAAGACACTGACCTACACAGTATTTTATAAAATTAGATGATTACGACATTAAATAGTACAATCCAACTGTACTATAATTTCTTGGGAAATAATGAAAGTAAGCCTTAAGAATATTTTATCAAAATGAATGAAAAAAGACCCACTTGTGCAATCTGGTAACTTCCATGTGCAACTTGTGTACTGTGTGAAGTAAAATATACCACTGACATAAATTGATGATACGCTTGAGGTACAGTTGTGACTTTTATGGTAAGGCAATCACATTTTAAACCATTACCACTAAATGCACACACTTGCTGTAATGGACATGGCAAAGTAAATTACAGCTATTTTTTTTACTACTTGTAAGAATATTTTCAGTAACTGACACACATTGTTTTAGCAATGCTTAGAATATTTAAATTGTTTGTAGTTGTTTAGAAGTGTAATTTTTTCATTATATAAAATAGAAATTTTGCAAAAATTTATTTCAAAACAAATAAAATTTTGCAAGTTATTGAAAATAATGATAAATAAAATGGTCACATTTAATAGTTCCATCATTCACACTTTCCTGAACTTTCTTTCTACATTTTGTTTTTGGTGGACAATCAGCAAATGGACAAGAAATGTTTTCTGCTAAAATGATGAGTTAAGTGTTCACTGTACTAACTTTATACATTTAACTGGTTTGAAAAAATCATATAATCAATTAATACAATATATTTGCTAAAATACAGTATCATTATTTATACTGAGGTAATATTCTTTTAATAGAAATTCAAACATTACTTACAAAAATGTTTTGCCACGTGAAATTTTGTTTTGATATTTTCTGAATACTGAAAAATTATAGCACCGGTAATACACAAAAATACTGTAATTTATTCAAGCAAATAAAGCATACTATGTGAACATAAAAATAATTAGATTTATGTGAGTCAAAATCTGAAACCATTTGTATCCTACATTGTTGACAATTTGTTTTAGCAATGCTTAGAATATTTAAATTGTTTGTAGTTGTTTAGAAGTGTAATTTTTTCATTATATAAAATAGAAATTTTGCAAAAATTTATTTCAAAACAAATAAAATTAGAACAGATGAAATTATACAGCCACAGTGGCCAAAAACAAATGACAGAAAGAAAAATTAATTTTCTATAATCAAAATCATTATATCCACAGAAAAGTAGGATGAAATATATTGGATACTCCAAATTTCACAGTTCTTTGTTTTCTGGTAAGTTACTGACAGATATCTTTTTAAACCACACTGTTTAACAGTGACAAACTCTCCTATAAGAATGATTTTTACTTCATGATAAAAAGCCTCAAAGTTTGTATGATTGGAACAAAACTACTATGGTGAAACAAAGTCTGGAGAATATAAGTGACTTCTAATAACAAAAGCCTAATAGAGTAAATTGAATATTGCAAATCAAAAATTAAAAAAATAATAATTGAATCATATATGTTATGTTTTGATCTTTTAATCTTCCATACTGCAAAAACTACTGTATACAATTTACTTTTCTAAACACAATAAACGTTTAATATTTACAATATATTTGCTGCCATAAAACTAAGTTATTTTTCAACTTCTTTTAAAACTGTGATGTTATTGAAATATTGAATATAAAAGTAAAACTGATTGATCACAGTTAAAATTTCATAAACATCTAGAGAATTAAGAATTTCTGGTATTTAACTTAAAATATTCAAATAGCAATATACTTACTTTTGAGTCCAACACACTAAAGCTCTGTTTGGTGAAGAACATATTCCAAAAGGAGACCACTTGGGATGGATAACTTCTTGAAGAATTTCTTCTTGATGAAAAATCAATTCTAGAACAGTTCCAGATAATTGTAATAAATTTCATGAAAAGCTTGCTACAACCTAATACTAACATTTAAATGAAGACTGGCAAGATCAATGATCAAAAGTGAATATAACAGTGAGTATTTAAGTAGAATGTCATTTACATTTTGTTAAGAAAGGATGCTGTTGTATATAAAAATGATGATTATAAAAGTTATTTTCACTTGTTTGAATACTATATCAGAATTTCACGTAGATTATGATTCTATTAGAATATTTTGCCTTTTCGTAGCATTATTTCTGGAGAAAGAAAAAAAAAGGAATGTACTAGTGGAATAAAAAAAAGCAAGTAAGCAAACCTTTTTCATCATAAGTACACAGTTTTCAGTGTTCAAATTAGTTTTTTTAACAGATGAATATCTTCACAGATATATGATCGTGGGATGACCATTAGTTAGGTAGTAGTTTTTCTTGTGGCAAGTTCTAATTGTTTTCTCATCTTGGTTTTGTACTCAAGACCTCTCACACAAAGGAAGAGACTCTACTAATGTGAGTTAAAGGGTTAAATCAATAGCACTTGCTGGTAAGGCACTTTTTTAACAGTTCTAGTTATCACAATATTACTGTGAATATACTATGTTATAGGAGGTGAATGTGGAATGTGAACTATTAATCAAGTAATTTTATATATATATATATTAAATTTTTTTTTATTCTTGTTACATGAATCTAATTTCACTTGGGATATTTCTGGAATCATAAAGGTCACTCTGAATGATCACTTTAAGACTACTTATTAACAGCTGATTTACAAAGCTTGTTTTTGGTTGTTGTTTTTTTAATTCTAGTTCTCTAGTTTGTATTATAACAGGTACGATAAAGTCATTCATTATTAGCAAATCCTGCTTTCTTTCGGCACAGAAATACATTTAGAGTTGTTAATGATACACCATTTTTTGTGCTAAGAATAGTAAAATTTGTATCAGTGTTGCTGAATTTGTAGAAACATACAAATATCCATGCTGATGTCTACATCATCTGAAAAGAAGCTAGAAAGTAACTTAGTTAGAACATCCACTAACTGTCTAGTGAAAACCTGAAAAAGATGAATTTTTATTCATTCTATTAACTCTCTCAACATGGGGTCGGTCAATTTGACCGATTCACATGACCTTTTGTACTCGTTTAAAGTCTTTATAAATTTAATACTTATAATTCTCAATATATTGGGTATACCTTCACGAAACTTGGCAGTCTTTCAGTTAATATTACAAGTCTTTCACATACAAAAAGTCGTATCTCTAAGTGAAGTATTTTTAATAAAATAAAATAAAGATTTGTCTATGAATATATTGAGTATTTGTTTTGAATAGTCTGTGTGCAAAGTAATTTTCATTTTAAAATTAAAAATGCTTTTCATCATCTCAAAAATCTCAAATTTCCTTTGTGTAATCCCTAAAACCTCCTAAATGCATTTCAAACGTTTTTTGTCACTAAATCCTTATAGTTTATATGTTATTTTCTCTACCCTATCACAAAATGGGATTAGTCAATTTGACTGACCTGGTAACCATAAAAAAGTCAAAATGAACCTAAATTAACCTTTTTTTTCTTTCTAGAATGACTTTAAGTTGCAACATGAAACTACATTCGTTTATTCTAAGTAGCTTTAAGTTCGTAACATTATACATCTATTTATAATT